GCGTGCGCCTTGATGTTGTCACACAAAGCGGAGGGACCTACAGTTTTACGCCGACTCCGAACGGCGATTGTATTTTTATGAGAAGCTGTTTTTCATGGCAGAAATACACTCGGAGGTTTGCCATTGCCTGCCGAGGGACGACCGCTGTTAAGAAAAAACCTTTTTCTATATTTTTTTTGGGATGTTGCTTTGACCAGGGCTTGAACCCAGGTGCTGATGTGTGAAAGCGCGCACTGCTTACCACTACACCACAGCGGCCGATGTTTGTATTGCAGGTGCTAAAAAAGTGATAATATCTTGTCGCAGCGCATGTTTTCCTGCAGAATGTGGTCGATGCTTGCTTACCTCCGATTTTAATTTGTAATTTGTGGTATTTCAACGTTTCCAACTGAACATGTCGTGTTTAAAAGTGGTCCGTAAAGTGCTTCATGCATATTACGCTGGTGTCTAAATTGTATGGCTTCTCCTGCCGGCAGAACTCTACCCACTTTCTGGCCAAGGCGTCGTCGCGGGGAAACAAAAAAACTGCATTTGGGGGCTTTACCCCTACGGCTGCTGCAATTCAACACAGACACGACATTTTTATAAAGTTTCTATTACAAATAAAACGTTTTTTACTTCAGAACGCACGAATTACTTCGATTTTTCACTTGAAAGTACACAATTCGTTTGCATTACGTTTGCACTTGTTTCTAAACAAAAAGTTTGTTTACGTATTGCCATAAATGTCAAAGTCGGCAAAACCAAAGTAGCGGTTTCGGGAATGCGTCACCTTCAGTTCATTTCACCATGCAAACAAAACCTTGTTTCAGTTGTAGGTATGGTCGAGCACAGCATGAAAATAGGTCCCGTATAGTTCCTGAACCCTCCATTTTTTGTATACCAAAAACCGTNATATGAAGCACGGTGCAGCGAACAAAGGTGGCGCCGTCAGTGGTACCGCTACTTTGGTTTTGCCGATTTTGGCAGTTGTGGTAACTTTTAAATAAACCTTTGTTTACAAATCAGCGAAAGAGAAATTTGAATTATGAGTGAAGAATCAGTTTAAATTGTGTTAATTTGCATTTTGTGAGTGATTTTTGAGTTGAAGACTGCGTAAAAACTAATACAATGAAGTGCTGTGTGTTAAATTGCGATAACCGTCAAGATGCAAGAAGCGTAGATGCAAGTGTAGCGCTGGGACGAATCGGTGCATTTTGTGTACATAGGGCACGGCAAAGCCGCTCCCAAAATGTTTCTCTATTATTATATTAACAGCATTTCCTCACAATGATTTTGTTTCTGCTCCACGCAGCCTCCATTAGCAAGTTAGCTTATCAGTCCCGCAGAGATGCTGCTGCAGTTTTCTGCAGCAGCCTTAATTGCAAAGCAATGGAGTGCACTACAATGTTCACTGTTCTCTAATAGATTAGGTGAAAAATGCAATATTTTCGCATTTAGCAAAATTAAAACACGTTTTTCGTAGTAAAGTGAACTGCTTTGGCTGTTTCAACTCGTTCTTCTTTTCGCTCTATTCTTTGTTTACTTGTGGTACGCAAATGTCAACACGCAGGACGGCGCAATCTTGTTTTCTATCATTCCAAAGCACAGTATATACAGTAATAAACCTTTTTGAGTTCTCCTCGGTGGTAAAATCTGATCAGCGTTGATAATGAGAAGGATCATGCATTTTGTTCATTCAGAGTTGTATACAAAATTACTGTGGTAAGAAAGGGAGCAACAGCCGTACTATGGCAGAGTGGCACAAGTCATGACTGTGTAATAATAACGGAAATTAATTGCAAAAGTGTAAAAACATTGCAAATTATTGTCTATTATTACAGATACTAGTACAGATTATCATAGTTCAGTGTATAACTTGTTATATTACACCGTACCAATGAACATAAATATCAAGAAGGGGCAACTCGTTATAATTGTAGCGAAAGTTAGAAGTGAGGCTCACTTTCGCTACAATTATAACGAGTTGTCCCATCTTGTTATCTATGAACTGTTAAATGCTGAAAACGCTTATAACTTGTAGATCACTCAAACTTGGGTGTGCTTAATGAACTGTCTGGGCGGATGGCAGGCATTGGGGTCTGTATAACTATACAAACCTTGTTTTTTTTTAATAAAGACTTAAATATATTTCGAAATTTAGAATATTGCTTGATAAATTGACAAAATTTACGTTTTACACATAAATATAATCTTATAATGGATTTTTTTTTTTAATTTTAAACTTACATTTAAGAAATTTATTCAGTGCTATATTTACGATTTGAGTTTTCCAGTTTACGAAACACAAGCGTTCATTATGTACTTAACTGTTGATATTATTCTTCATTAAGCATGAATATCAGCATATCTTAAAGATGAATATTATAGTTAACCTACATTTTGTTCATAAATAATACATAATTATGTGTATTTTATCCTCGAAGGGAAAATTTCTAATCATGAGGCGAAATTCCCCACAGTAAGTGTTGCCGTGCGTGCAAAACGAAAACGCTCCACACAACCCAAAAGTACTCCTCGGGGGCCAAATGTTGAAAAACTGCGAAAAGGTTTATTACTGAATATACTGTGTTTTTGGGTTAAGAAACGCTTTCCAGCAGAAATTAGTGATAATTTGCGATAATTATATGTTAAGAAACAAAGCTATTCAGTAGGACCGCGGCGAAAATCTAAACTCGCCTTGAACACCACCTTGTATAAATTCGCCTTGCTTCATTTGCTGACGGCGAAACAGTAATAAAAGAAACATTGAAAAAATATTAAATTGAAAAAATCTGTGTGATCAGGAAAAACTAGTGACAAAAGATTTTGGGAACGCGTTTTGCTGCTACAGAGGTACCTACCATATAAAAGCACGAAAAAATATAAAATTTAACACTGGGTCAGCCAGAAATTTGCCAATTTTAGGCGGGTTATGGATGGTTTTGGGACCGGGATTGCGGCCTCAAATGAATCGCGATATTTAACAGCCAAAAAGGAAGACTTTGCCTACAAGGACACTTCCATTGTCGACAATTTAGTAAACAAGGACATTGATTCGATGTCGGATTGTGCAGCGGGTGTAGACGATTTACGGCAAGTGCATTTAGATGCACTACCAGATGAGATATTGGAGTTTATACTTACATATTTACCACCTTATAAAGATTTGAAATGCTGCAGTTTAGTCTGTAAACGTTGGAATTCTGTGGTGAAAAGTAAGTATTAAGTGCACCAAGGAACAATATCAAGATCGTTCATTATGTTTCACATTATAGATCTAATTCGTCGGTCCAAAATAAACCTTCATAAAGGGCTGCTAGACTACCGATTACGATGGGAAGTTTTTTCGCAGCAAACGGCCGCGAAAGTAGCTACGCGTAAAAATACATCAAATAATCTTACTGCACCTCTAACTACACCGCCCATAATCGCTGGCCGTTTCTCGCATTCTGCTGTTAGACATGGAAATTCGATGTATGTTTTTGGTGGTGGCTCATCCTCGGATACCACATTTAATGATTTGTGGCGTTTCGACTTGTCTGAAATGATTTGGGAACGTCCGTTATCAATGGGTTCGTATCCATCTCCAAAGGGAAGCGCCTCTATTGTATGCTGGGGTGAACAATTGGTATTATTCGGAGGATGGCGTTATCCATCCTTGCATCCACCCTACCAGCCTTGGTGCCTGTTTGACGAACTCCATTTCTACGATTTGAATAGCAATCGTTGGACATTAAGGATCACTTTGCCAAGCCCCCCTCCTATGGCTGGTCACTCGGCTAGCGTGCATGGCGATCGAATGGTTATTTTTGGTGGATACCAAATTGCAGACGGCGTGAATAGTAATTCTAATGAAACATGGTGCTTGGATCTGAACGAATTAAAATGGTGGCAGCCACGTTTTATGGGTAACACGAAGCCTCCTCCACGCTATGGCCAATTTCAGTTGCTTTTGGATGAGTGTCACCTGTTGATTGTTGGAGGTTGTGGTGGGCCAAACAGTGTATATTCGGACGCCTGGCTATTGGACATGTCGCAAGAGGCTTGGCTGTGGCGTGCCATACCGATACGCAACAAAAAATTCGGTGCAACGCACATGTGGTGTAATCCTGCCTGCAAGATTGGTTCAAAATTGGTAGTGCTAGGACCTACTCCTAATATGCCGCAGAATTTTCAAATGATGAAGCAAATGCGAGGTAATGTTGGTGGATTTAGACTACCGGGTGGTGGGCAGATAGGTAGGGGAGGAGGTGCCGTTGAGATGCCAGCACCTCGTTATGGTGCTGTGCAACAGCAGAATAATCGAAACAATCCTTTCGATCGACATCGACTTTTGGGTGGTGATTTGCAAATTGGTGCAGTTGCGCTAAATCAGCCTCCTCTTGCCCAGGGACTGCACCCACAACAAAGACTAGATAATGCACGATTACGTGGACCAGATGAGCAATATTTCGCCAATCGTCGCGCAATACTACAGCAAAATCAACATCAGGCTAATAATATTTTTAATAATAATAATAGCAATAATAATAATATTCAACCGCGTCGTGGTCGGCTTGGTGACTTACATGTCAATATATCGGCTTCAAATGTGGTGCCTATCGAAGAGCGTAATCAAAACCGTCCATCATGTTCGAATTCCGTAGTAGCATCCCCTTCTTCAGTTCCTACGTCAACACCGTCATCATCATTAAGTGCATCCGTATCCTGTATGAATGGGATTTCTTCCCCACGAAATGATAACGAGTCGAATTCGGCTAGAGATGTAGGGGTCCCAGTTTCTGTCAGTGGAAACAACTCTAATGACATAGAAGCGGCAAATCGTTTGCAACGAAACTTGGCATTGCGTTGTAGGGATAACGAACCTTTGTTGCCAAAACGTTTTGATGAATTGTTCGAAGTAAGTAAAAGTAGACTTAGTGGTCATATTTATATCATATGTAACGCTCTTAAAATATGTTTTAATCCGATTTACACTGTCATAACAAGCGTGTGTGAAGAATTAGATTCGTGCTAATGGTATCTTCCGGACCGGAATAGGCATGTATCCGAGGGATGTCATTCGCACGAGTCTAATCCTCACTTGCATACATATACGTATTTCTGGATAACACATGGCTTTACGTCCGATTTACATATATGCACACAAATGTCCAAAAACATTCAAAAAATAGGCAAAGTATGTGTACCCTTGGTCAATGGAAAGTATTCTTTTTTAGAATTTTAGAGTTTATGTGTAAAATTTGTTGTAACAGCCCATTGGGTATTAAAGTTGTAAACTTGATCATTGCAACGTTACAAAGTTTTAAATTTCTCTAGGATCGACCATTTGTCCTAACTCGTGTTTGTCGAAATTATGCTTTGTACAAAGTCGCATTTGAAAACCACTACTTCACCAATATATTAGCTTCAGTATCTATTAAAAATCAGTGTTTTGAAGAATTTTAGTTTTTACAAAGATTCATAACTATTCTAAAGAAAAAAATTGTAGATAGGCTATATTAAGGTAACGATATGTAAATACATACCTTTTCCAAATTCGAAGTCCATAAAACAAAACAATTTATACCAAGAAAAATATTTCTTTCAATTGTTTATTAATTTTTGTAAATTATTTTGTATACGTTTCCCATGGTGGAATAATAACAAGGTGTTGTCAGTTACTTAACCTCACTTTTTCGGCAGGTCTATTCCGGTCACGCATTTTAAAGTAGTAGAAAAGGTATTAATTATTTACTACTTTTAATCCGTTGGTGCATACTATTTTAAATTAATTTTAATTTAGCTCAATATTATGACAACGCAGCAAAAGTTATCTTCTATATATATAAAATAATACCCGTTTTCGTTGTTCGGAGTTAACTCAAAAACTACTGAATAGATTTCAGTCAAATTTTCAGAGGTTAGCCCTTGCATATATGGTCCTATTATAGGCTACCAGAAAACTCGGTAGGTGGCGCTGGGATCGAGTTATTTAAAAAAAAATGTATTTATGAACCGATTACTTTTAAATTCAAAATGTAAGCTACCAGCATGATGGCAAAAACTTTACCAAAAATAGACCTGCTAGGTGGCGCGGGAGTCGAGTTATTTATAAAAGTCGTATTTATGAACCGATTACTTTTAAATTCAAAATGTAAGCTACCAGCATGATGGCAAAAACGTTTACCAAAAATAGACCTGCTAGGTGGCGCGGGAGTCGAGTTATTTATAAAAGTTGTATTTATGAACCTATTTTGTTAATACACATTCGAAAAGTTTATTACTTTCTTGATGATTTTTTTTCATTCGAAACATATTCAGCCTTATCATGAGTTACATCTTCCCTGAACCGGTTCACTTTTCGCCTTTGGTTTCCATGGGGGGAATCAAAATTTTCGCGTAATTTACTCAGGATAAGGAAGATTACATACATAAAATGATAGCCATTTCCGTTTTTCGGACTAAACTCAAAAACCACTCAATAGAGTCCAGTCAAATGGTCGGAGGTCCTATTATAGGCTACTAGAAAACACGCTGGTGGCGCTGGAGTGGAGCTACTTATAAAAGTCGTATATATTATCAGATTTCGTTCAAATTCTCTGCGTGACTACCTGTATGATGAAAAATTCCTTTGCTAAAAATGGACCCGCTGGAGTTTAGGTATTTAGAAAATCCGTATTTTTTATAAAATCTGATAGGAATTCATAATGCGTATTCATTTCATGACAAGCAAAGGTTTTGCAGAAAAGGCACCCAATGGATGGCGCTGCACCTGAAATATATAGAAGCCCCCACGGGGTTTGTTCTGCTTTGACCCTATGTTTATCTTAGACGAATTTACTTTTCAGATGGCTAAATCAAGAATGCGTTAGGTATGCATATAAAGACCGTAACACTGTGTAAGCGTGATCTTGCATCTACCTCCGATTGACGAAGATGCTCGAGGCGGCCGTTATTATAGCAGTAAGACTCAAAGAAACCAAATCATAAATACTAAGACGAATTGTAAAAGTGGCGAATTGACAAGGAAAGATTCGACCACATATGTCCAAGAAGGCACACGAGGGGTATATCAATGGCTTCATTTGAACGATATTCATGAGATCACACGACTCATTTAGCCAATGTACGCGAAAAGTTTAGGACTGGTATGGGTTACATGGTACACCGGACCAATACTGAAGTTGCAGGATCATAGAAGAATATTACGCACGCTCGGCAGAGACCTCACAGGTGGAAATAAGACCATCGATAAAACTCATGACATCGAAAGGGATTAGTATTCCATATGGTATCACAGCTTCAATTCTTGACCTATGTGTGAGGATGATTCTGCTCTTTATCCGTTTCAATTTTTGTATTGGCCAACGCAAAAACTCTTATTAGGCGCCGCGAAGCAAGCTTGCATTGGCTAGTTTAATATAAAAAATCGCCTTTCCATACGACTTTTGTGTACGTCTTTTTCTATTGATAACCACGATATCTTTTATTTTTTACATTTTGAGGACAAAAATTATACAAATCCATCAATTTTAAATATTAATATCGTTTTGAAAACACCAAGTTCTTTAAAAATCGCGATAAAACGAATTACTAAAATGGAACATATTAGATACTATTTCCCAACGAATAGTAGTATAAAATTTAAGATCTGATCAGCACTGAAAATAAGCATGCCGATCTTGTCAAAATTACAACAAACACGTCGCTACTGACAACACCTTGTTATTATTCCACCATGTACGTTTCCAAAATATTGGGGGCTTATATTCAGTACCCTCTATCTGCAATTTTCACAAAAACTGCTTGGTGATGTTAGAACCCATCTGGGACTTACCTGCCATCACTGATGTTAATCCTAACTTTGCAATTTAATAGTGAACTCTTCTGTAAAGCGTTATGCAAGGTCAGCATTAATATCACCGATGACAGTTAAGTCTTAGGTGGATTTTAATATCAGAATCCACATTTTTGTTAAAATTTCAGATGGAGGGTATTGAATATAAGCCCTCGTTATGCTCAAATATTCCAAATATGCTCCCAACATTCTCAGTTTAGATACATAAACAGTAGGGTGGCTCGAAAATTTAATTTTTCTGTTGTTATTGTTGTTTTCGTAGCGGCACTACTACCCACCTATTTCGGTTCACCTTTCAATCATTGTCGCCAAGCTCAACCAACGGTAGGCCCAGGAAACGGGCTGTTTCAATAGGGTAGGGTCGAACCAAAGGGATAGGGGTGTCAGCTGAGTAGGATTGAGCAGACATATGAAAAGATGTTTGGTGTCATGCGGAGAATCTCCACATGCCGGGCTCTCATTATGGATATTGAGGTCGAATCTGGACAGGTAGCTGTTAAGGCGGCTGCAGTATCCAGACCGTAACTGTGCCAGCCGGTTCTACGTACCGGAATGACTGGGGTTTTACCCGACCCCGTTTAGATCGGCGATACCATTCAATCATTTAAGTTTTCTGGGGATGAAGTTGCACACAACTCAGAACACAGCACTCCGGACAGCGTCCGGGTGTCTTCTGTTATCGCCAAAACATCACCTGCATGACGAGGCGCAAATGCTCCCCATAAGTGGGCACAACCCAATGCTCTGCAAGCAATTCTTAGTAGGGAGCCACAGACGTGGACACCCGAACATACGCTTGCAGAGTAGCCCTCGCCAAGACATGTCAGAAGGCATCTATACGAACTGACGGACGAAGTCCAGAGGTTCAAAAAGCAACCTCTGGACCCGACAGCATATCTTTCTAGCCCTGAGCTGCATTCACAGGGAGTCAGTTTCAAGTTACGTAGACTCCAGGCCTGTGAATGCCGTTCTGGGCAAACAACCACCTGACGAGGATGAGACGGAGCTTCGTCTGCCTCGTGAGACTCGGACCACAATAGCCCTTCGCTCTGGCTACTGCAGCAGGCTGAACTCATACCTGAGCATACTAGATGCAGATATGCCCAATAAGTGTCCGGCATGCGGAGAGACACCCCACGACTCGAAATATCTTGACGCATGCCCACAAAACCCCACACAGCGAACGCCCCTGTGGATAGGCCGTATAGAGGCTGGACGCTTCTTGGGTCTTCCGTTAGTTGAGCTTGACGACAACGACTGAGATACATCCGATCTCGGCGGGGTTGTTGTAGCCGCTGCAACAACTACAGCAACAAGAGCACTGGTCGAATAAGACCGATTCTTGTTAAAAATTCAGGGCTCAGCAAAAAGGTTTGGTTGTTGGTGGATATTATTAGATAATGAATCTGTAAACGAAAACGACAAAGTCAAATATCATCTCTGGCTGCCCTTTAATTTATGGTTACTCTCAAACTTATCTGTTTTTCAACCAAATTGTAATTGTTGTGTTGATAATTGCACTGGTCTTTAGTCAAAAGGTGTCAAGAACAGCATTCATATTTTTGGGGTATATTTAGGTCCCTGGATCTAAATATACTAATCTATATTTAACATTTTTGCAAATTTGGGAACATTTTCGGGAGCTATAATAGGAAAACCTTTATTTTCAATCACCGTGGAAAATTTTCATGTTTGCAAATGAATATGGAAACACTGAACTAGCTCAAATTGGACAAACACTAATTAGTTTACTTATTCAGCCCAATTCTGAATATTCCCAGAGAGTTTGCTCTCCGGTAATTTCTTTCTCCCGAGAAAGAAATCCTCCAATAATTAACTCCCATGGAGTAGCATTTTCCCCGAAAATTTGGGAAATACGTACAATCAAGTCTATCATTCTACATGTTGTCTAAGTTTTGGTTTTTGTCGTCGCCTATTTGCCCCTACCAATCCATTGAAAGAATTAGGTATAATGAGAAATATACGGACAGAATAATATTGATTGCAGGATTTCAAAAGACTAAAAAGTAGAAAAAAATAATAGTTTAAAAAAACTAAAA